AGTATCATTTAAAATATCCAAAGCATATTTTCTTTGACACATATTTATACCACAGTCAGAGTGTGCAAATTCAAGACCCAAGATATATTTGAGTTGACCCAAGTCTTTAATGGTAAAACAGGAATGTAGATGATGTTTAATAGATTGAATTTCAGACATGCTATTGCCACATATAATCACATCATCTACATAGACAAGTAGAGCAATAAAATAAGAATCAGTAGTAAGAGTGAACAGAGAACAATCAGCAATGGATTGTTTGAAACCATATGAAATAAGACAGGATGTGAGTTTTTGGAACCATTGTCTTGAGGCTTGCTTAAGGCCATAAAGGCTCTTTAACAACCTGCAAACCCTTTTATCAGATTTAGAACAATAACCTGGGGGTGGGGTCATGTAAACCTCTTCATGTAAATCTCCATGTAAAAATGCATTGTTAACATCTAATTGTTCAATATGCCACTTTTTAATGGATGCAAATGCTACAAGGAATCTGACAGTAGTAATCTTAGCTACAGGGGAGAAGGTGTCAAAATAATCAATGCCCTCCTCTTGTGTGTAGCCTTTAGCAACTAGTCTAGCCTTATATCTTTCTAAAGTTCCATCTGATTTATATTTGACCTTATATACCCATTTACAGCCTATACAATGTTTACCAACAGGCAGGTCAGTTAAGGTCCAAGTGTTTGTTTGTTCTAAAGCTGTAAGTTCTTTGTTCATGGCATCTTGCCACTGAGGATCCTTAACTGCCTGAGAATATGTCTTAGGCTCAGTTATTTGGGATATGGAAGAGGTAAAACATGCATGGGATGTAGATAATGATGCAGTAGAAATATATGATGATATAGGATACTGACATGTCCCAGATGGGCAGTCTGTTGAATCACAGTGAACAGAATTGGATGATGGTATGTTGTGATGGTAGACACTGAGGTAGGAAGGTGGTTTTGGTTGTCTAGAAGACTTTCTTCTGGGAGGTTGAGTGGGAGAGGAGTTACTAGGAGCAGATGTAGAATGTATGTTTGGAGAATATTGAGGAGTGGGAGTAGGAGGAGTTTGTGTATGAGAGGAATTGTTCAAAGACAGTGATGAAGGTGGTGCTGTATTCAATGTGGTAGCAGGTGGTATATGATTGGGAGTATCAAAACAATGTGAGTTATCAGTTGGTTTTGGAAACATAGATGAGTCATTGGGGATTTGATCACTGGGATTAGAGAAATCTTTGGCAAATGGAAAATGTGATTCATAGAATTGCACATGTCTGGATATGAATGTTTTCTTGGTATCCAAGTTGTAAAGTCTATATCCTTTACAACCTAATGGATAACCAAGAAGTATGCATCTAGATGCTCTTTTGTCAAATTTATGTCTATGAGCAGATAATGTAGATGCAAAACAGAGGCAACCAATTACTCTTAAGTGATCATATGAAGGTGGTTTCTTGTAAAGCAGCTCATAAGGGGATTTGTTTTGCAAGACAGAGGAAGGTGCTCTATTAATGATATGAGCAGCACCTATGATGCAATCAATCCAAAAAGGTAAAGGCAATGAAGCATGAAACATGATGGCTCTTGCCACTTGTAATAAGTGTTGATGTTTTCTTTCAACAATGCCATTTTGTTGTGGAGTTTCCACACAACTGGTTTGGTGTAAAATTCCATTTGTAGTATAAAAATCATGAAGAAGAAACTCAGTTCCATTGTCAGACCTTAGAATTTTAATTTTGGTATTAAATTGAGTAGAAACCATGTTGTAAAAATGTTGCAAATGTGATTTGGTGTCTGATTTGTGAACAAGAGGGTAGATCCAAGTAACTCTACTGTAATCATCAACAATTGTCAAAAAATATTTGAAACCAGAGTGAGATGTGATGGAAAATGGTCCCCATAAGTCACAGTGAATGAGATCAAAAGGATGATCAGAATGAGAAGTACTTAAGGAAAATGGCAGTTTCTTTTGCCTGGAGTAATGACATATATCACATGGAATGACATGATTTGGGGTATCAAAAGGTAAATGTTTCAGTTTGCTGAAAGATAAGTGCCCCAATCTATAATGCCATATGCTATTGTTTGATATAGAA